CTTTTCTATGTCCGTTCGAGGACGAACGGTTATTTTAGAGATGGAGAATGTGATGACCCAAAAAGTCATCTTATATTTTAGAACTCGATTCTGCGCTCTTAAGCCTTAAAAATCTCATTTTTACCCTCTTCGATATGCGTGCACAGTCCGGGCGTGTTTCCGAAAAGCTTTTATGTTGAAAGTTTATGAAAATAAGAATTTTTACCTTAAAAATTGATTTTAATTGACTTTGATCAACATTTTTGATAAACGGGCTCGGAGCCATATTTTGACGGTCTCGGTGGGTCCGTATCAAATTATGGGACCTGGGCATATGCCCAGAATCGAATTCGGAGGTCCCCAGCTCGAGTTATGAATGTTTGATGAAAATTAAAAGTCTGAAAATTAATTATTTTTCAGAATTGATTGATGTTGGGTATTGTTAGTACCGGGTTCGTATTTTGGTTTCGGAGCCCGGTATAGGTTCATTATGATATTTAAGACTTGTCTGTGAAATTTGGTGAGAAACGGAGTTGATTTGACATGATTCAGACGTCCAGTTAAGAAGATAGGAATTTTAAAGTGTTCTTGAGAATTTCATTTGATTTGGTGCTAAATTTGTAGTTCTAGGTGTTATTGTAGCGATTTGATCGCGCGAGCAAGTTCGTATGATGTTTTTAGACTTGTGTACATGTTTGGTTTGGAGCCCCGAGGACTCGGGTGAGTTTCAGATAGGCCACGGGATGTTTTGGACTTTGGAAAATCTGGTTTTTTGCAGATTTTGGTGTTCTGGCATGTCTTTCTTCACGTTCGCGAAGGTCCTCTTGCGAACGCGAAGAGTAAACTGGTGAGGCTGAAATCTCTTCTTCGCGAACGCGAAGGCCTGGTCCCGAACGTGAAGTGATGGGGGATTTACCCTTCGCGAACGCGGCCGGCTCATTACGAATGCGAAGGCCAGGGGGGTAGCCTACGCGAACATGGTCTCGCGAACGCGAAGGCTTAGTAGCCTATACTCTTCGCGAACGCGACAGTGCTCTCGCAAATGCGATGAATACTGTCGTCCAACACTTAACAGAATCCAAAAACGGGAATTGGCCATTAACTCATTTTCTCAAAAACCAAACGGGCTAGAGGCGATGTTCAAGAGTTATTTTCTTCCCCAAAGTTTTGGTAAGTGATTCTAAACCATTTTCTTTCAATTACCCATTACATTTTGTGAATTATCAACCTAAAATCTAGAGTTTTCATGGTAGAATTAGGGGTTAGGGTAGAAACTAGGAATTTCAGAAATTTGGGGATTTAGACCTCAATTTGAGGTCGGATTCAAAAATAAATTATATATCCGAGCTCGGGGGTGAATGGGTAAATGGATTTTAGTCTGAACCTCGGGTTTTGACCAAGCGGGCCCGGGGGTCAATTTTTAACTTTTTGGAGGAAAATTTGGAAAATTTAATTTATGCAATATAATTGATTCCTTTAGCAATATTTGATATTATTGAGTCATTTTTGAATAGATACGTGTGGTTTGGAGGTGAATTCTAGAGGAAAAGCTGTGAATGAGAATTAAGTGGCCTTCGGAGCAAGGTAAGTGTTGTATCTAACCCTAAGTTGAAGGAATTAGGAACCTTAGACTATTTGCTACGTGAAATTCATGTGAGCGGCATATATGTGAGATGAAAAGTACTTATGCACCGCCAATTTACCTGTGTTCCATGTTTCTTCCATTTTTCTTATATTGTCTCATTCCTATGCCTAATTACTACATGTTTATACTAGTGTTGTTAAATTGATTGTTCTTATCATGTTTACGGATTTTCTGGTGATAATCGAGTATTTATTTCAAAGTTGAGATTGATATTGTGGAACCAAATATTGAAGTAAGGCTTGTACTTGTTATTTTATCTCCCTGTTGTTATTTATGCATTGCATTATGGTAAGGGAGAGTGTTAATGCACGGCGGGTAATGGCGTGCCATATTGTGAGTGTTAATGCACGAAGGGTGATGTCGTGCCATATTGTGAGTGTAAAAGCACGAAGGATGATGCCGTGCCATATTGAGAGTGTTAATGCACGAAGAATGATGCCGTGCCATGATATGAGAGTTAATGCACGAAGGGTGATATCGTTTCATTTCTATTGATTTTATGGTGAGATTGAGAGTAAACGCACGAAGGGTGATGCCGTGCATTTTTCCTTTACTGTATTCGTGTTCCTATTGATTTATAATATATATTGGTTGTTCCGGTTATCATTCTGTTGTAGTTCTTTATCTCGTATTTCCCCCAGCATGTTTCCCCCTCCCGATATCTCCTATCTAATTCTTCATTACTGTTAATTGTATATACTTTGTGAAACTGTACGAGTTGATTTGTAGGTGCCTTGCCTTAGCCTCGTCACTACTTCGTCGAGTTTAGGCTCGACACTTACCAGTACATGTGGTCGATTGTACTGATACTGCACTCTGCACTTTCTATTCAGATTTTGTTACCGGCTCGGGTTGATCGAGATTTTGCTATTGGACCGCTATCCGGAGACTCAAGGTAGATCTGTCAGCGTTCACAGACCTTGAAGTCCCTGTCTATCTTTTCTGTTATACTGTTTCTTTTATTCAGATAGTTGTATTTCTTTCAGACTATTTACTTATAGTAAATTCTAGAATGCTCGTGAATTATGACTCCAAATTCGGGTGGTAGTAATTAATACAGATTTTATATTATTCCGCACTTATTATATTTCATCATAGCTAATTATTGTTATTTACTGAATGGGAATAAGGATTTGGTTTAATGATTCTCTAACGTTGGCTTGCCTAGCAAGTGAAATGTTAGGCGCCATCACGGTCCCGACGGTGGGAATTCTGGGTCGTGACAATAACCCTCAATGGTGTACAAAATAAAATGATAGACATGGGCTAACATTATCAAATATCCCAACAAGGATAAACATATAAGTAGTTCACAAAATTATGAAGCTCACCAATAAGCAGAGCATAATAGAAGGACTCACCTCAATATTCAGAACCGAATCAAATTAAGGAAAAAATATCCTTTTTATAACAAATCAGGATCATATCTGTAACGACACCATCTGGTGTACTGGCCTCAGACACACCATAGCAAATATATCAACGAGCTGGACCTTCCCTTCTAAGGCGCCCTCTACCCGCCTGTCCTCCACCTCTAACTGGTTGTGCACGTGGGGTAGTAACTACATTGGGACCCATAGCCTGAGTGTTCTAATAAAATCCACCCCTCCCAAGTCTGGAACAATCTCTCATAATGTTCCTAGTATTACTATACTCATAACAACCCCTATGAGGTCGCGGTTGCTCGTACTGAGTCTATGCCGGATAACTGGAATAACCATTGTAAGAATCTCGTGTTGGTGGTGCACTATAAGAACTTACTGGAGCACCCCAAGTAATCTGATGTACGGACTGAGTTGGCCGACTGTTCGAGCCTCCGCCATAATGGATCATAGCTGAAGAGTAAAATCCACTGAACCCTCTATAGATTCGAGACCTTTTGGCCTCCTTATTCTCCCTTTCCTCACCTAGAATACCCTCAATCCTCCTTGCAATCTCCACTACTTGTTGAAATGGAGTATCAGTTTGTAAATCTCGAGCCATGCATATTTTAAGATCATAATTGAGCCCCTCAATGAATCTACGGACTCGCTTTCTGACTGTAGGAACCAAGATAGGTGCATGACGGGCTAACACACTTAACCTGATAGCGTATTTTGACACTGTCATAGTGCCCTGACGCAACCTTTCAAACTTTGTGCGCCACGCATCTCGTAGAGTCTGGGGAACAAACTCTTTCAAAACTATTTCTGAAAATTGAGCCTAAGTTGGTGGTATTTCATCGGTCGATCTACCTTCTTCATAAACTTGCCACCACTGATACGCTGCGCCTGACAGCTGAAATGTAGTAAAGGCAACTCCGCTCACTTCCACAATACCCGTGGTGCAGAGAATACGGTGACACTTTTCTAGAAATCCTTGGGCATCCTCTGAAGTTGTGCCAATGAAAGTAGGTGGACTATACTTTTTTAAACCTCTCATGTCTCTTTTGTTTCTTCTTCTGATGCCTCTGGCCTGACCTCAGGCTGAACCGGAATAACAGGTTATACTGGTACTACACCCGAAACCTGACCAATATAAACCTGCTCCTCTGGAGTCGTGGTAAACATCTGAGCTACTCCCTCAAACTGCGAAATATTTGGTGCAACAAAGATCAATCCCGCCTGAGTTAATGTACCAAACATACTCAGGAACTGTGCTAAAGTCTCCTGAAGTCTAGGGGTAACAACAAGTGCTTCTGGTATCTGTCCCCCAACTGGAGTTACTGGAGGCTCCTCAACTGCTGCTCTGACAGGTGCTCTAGTCATGGTACGTGCCCTTCCTCGTCCTTTACCTCGGTCTCGGCCTCTTGCGACCCTAGCAGAATGCGCGGATGCCTGATCAGTTGACCCGGTAGCACGTGTCCTCACTATCTGTGAGAGAATAGAGATACAAAGGCTCAAATTCCAAATTCAACAAATTCTGCACGACAAGAATGAAAGAAGTGGAAATTTCCAAATAGTTTTGTAGCCTCTCGAAGATAAGTACAGACGTCTCCGTACTAATCCGCAAGACTCTACTAGACTCATTCGTGACTCGTAAAACCTATGAACCTAGAGCTCTGATATCAACTTGTCACGACCCAAAATTCCCACCACATGCGTTGTGATGGCACTTAGTCTCTAAGACTAGGTAAGCCAATTACAATTATATTTCAAGCCATTTTTTAAAATAGAAACTAACAATGAAAATAGTTGCAGACAACCTACCAAGACTGGTAATACTGAGTCACGAACTCTAGCTGAATACGTGAAATGATCTCAAGGATCGAATACTCAATACTCTTTGAATAATAATTAACAGTACAATAAAATGGAAAGACTCCAAGGAACTGCGACGACCAAGCAGCTCTACCTTGAATCCTTGCGATCCCACTCTACCTCTGTCCGAGTCCCACATCTCCAATACCTGGCTCTGCACAAAATGTGCAGAAGTGTAGTATGAGTACACCACAGTCGGTACCCAGTAAGCATCAAGACTAACCTTAGTGGAGTAGTGACGAGGTACAGTCAAGATACTCACTAGTCTAATAACCTGTGCAATATAGTATACATAAATAATAGCATACAAATAACAATGATGGCAACACTAATCAACCAGTGATATACACAGCAGGGCAACAAGAACACTATTAATACTACTCAACAAATAATGAATACAAGAACAACTAATTAATCAAGTCCTTCAAATATAAAAATTTCGCCTATATGCTTTTTCGAATAATAATCTTCAGGATATAATACTTTCCAATAAATATATTTCGAATATACTCCCTTCAGTAAATATATTTCAAATGTAATTCTTTTAAATAAATCTCTTTCAAATATAATTCCTTCAAATAAATATCTTCAAATATAATTCTTTCAAACAAAATATCTTCAAATATAATTCTTTCAAATAAATACCTTTCGAATAAAAGTCACCCTCTGACACAGCATTTCAAAATCATAAAATACGGGTCTCAGCCAACTTTCATATTTTCACGGCACCTCATGCCAATCTCTCTATCACAACCGCATGGACAACTTACATGCCAATATCATTATTATTTACTCACGGCACCTCGTGCCCGCATTTCATTTTATAATCCGCCTGGCAATAGCCACATGCTCCCATTTTCAACATAGATCAGACTATTATCAAGTTTACCGAAACAACAAGACAAAATGTACAAGATATAGAAATAAACACAAGGAAAATTACAACATTCACATGAAAATTACCAACGCAATAACCCCATATCATCACATATCATACCTAACAATAGCCACCCTTATCTCTCCTATAGCCACCCTTATCACTCCTATAATAGCCTTCCTTATCCCTCCGCCCTGACAATATCAATAGCCACCCTTATCGTTCCTATAGCCACCCTTATCTCTCTGCATAATAGCCACACTTATCACTCCACCCAGACAATATTCCAACACACGTAACCACAGTGAAATGCCACCTTTATACCCACATAATATCAACAATGAAATACGACCCTTATATCTTCATAATAATAACTCAAATCACACAACAATTTACACAGAATATTATCACGACAACACAACACAATCAATTCCTATCACAATTTACCCAACAACCACAACCTATTCCAATGATATAGTAAAATCAATAAATTTCTCAAAAATAGCCCAAGGCTCCACACAACATATATAAAATCTCAAAACAATCAACAAAGATAGAAAATACTCAGTATAGGGAAACGCCTTCATTAATCCAAATTCTTAATAATTATATTAACACTTAAGTTTAAACTTATTTTATTAATTATTTGCAGATGAAAAATGCATAATATAATTATTTTCAGGAAATATCAAATCAACAAACTCACGGAATTCACATAATATTCAAGTAATAATCACATCAGATTGTCATATAAAAACAAATTCAACAAACGAGAATTGAGGCATGGCAAATAGATGATTTAATAATTCCCAATAATTATCCAATTTTACTACACAAATAATGCCTAAGACTTTAACCCAATAAATTTTGCATATATAAGCCCGAGTACGTACTCGTCTCCTCGCGTACACGGCTTTTCACATTTCACAAATGGCACATAAGACTCGATGCCTAAGGGGTAATTCCCCCACTCAAGGTTAGGCAAAATACTTACCTTTTTGAAGTTATGCCAAAATTTTAAAATCGCCTTCTTGCTTGAATTGACTTCCGAACAGCTCAAATCTATCCAAATTAATTGTATAACTTCATTAAAATTTATCGAAAATAATTTCGGATAATAAAATTTCGACTTAAAATTTTATTTTAAAAAGTCAACCAAAATCAACGCGGGGCTCGCCTCTCGTAACCCGACATAATTATTACAAAATCCAAACATTCATTCCGATATGAGTTCAACCATACCAATTTTATCAAATTCCGATAACAACTCGACCTCCAAATCTTAAATTTTCGTTCTTGAAAAGTTTTTCAAAAATCTTATTTTCTTCCATTTAAATCCGAATTAAACGATGAATATAACAATGGATTTATGATATATAATCATTTTCGGATATAGCACACTTACCCAAGTGAAAGTCGTGAAGAAATCCTCCAAAAACGCCCAAAACACTGAGCACCAAAATCTCAATCGAAAATGGCGAAATCACCATTTTTGGTCCTTAAATGTTTCTGCCCAGTTTTCGCATTTGCAGATTGATTCTGCGCTTCTGCGAGCTCGCTTTTGCAAGACAAATCTTGCATTTGCGAAGCACATTGTCCAGCTGAATAATCGCATTTGCGTTAGAATGTTTCGCTTTGCTTCTGCGTTCCAGTGATCGCATCTGCGATGTCGCAGGTGCCTAAACTTGTCCGCTTCTACGATGAGCTGCCAGCCCTCCCAATCTCGCTTCTACGATCAAGCTTCCGCAGAAGCGAAACTAACAGTTGTTGCCCAGCACAGCTTCAGCAACAGAAAACAAATTTCAACAGCTTCCCTTGTCCGAAATGCATTCCGTTAACCTTCTGAAATCCACCCGAGGACCTCAGGACCTTAACCAAATACACCATCATATCCCAAAATACAATACGAACTTAGTCGAGGCTTCAAACCACGCCAAACAACGCCGAAATTACGAATCGTGCATCGAATCGAATTATGAATTTTCAAATCTTTCAACTTCTATATTTTGCACCGAAATGTATCAAATCAATCCGGAATGACTTCAAATTTTGCACACAATTCATAAACGACGTAATGGAGCTGTTCCAATTTCCGGAATCGAAATCCGACCTAGTTATCAAAAATTCAACCTTCGGTCAAACGTTTCAAAAATTTTCTATTTTCTAACTTTCGCCAAAATTCGTCGAATTGTCCTACGGACTTTCAAATCCAAATTCGGACATACGCCTAAGTCTGAAATTATTATACGAAGCTATTGACATCATCAAAATTCTATTTCGGGGTCGTTTGCTCAAAAGTCAACTCTTTGGTCAACTCTTTCCATTTAAGCTTCAAAAAGGAGAATTGTTCTTTAAATTAAATTCCGAATATTTCGAAAACCAAACTCGACAATATACGTTGGTCATAATATATATTACGAAGCTGATCGAGACTTTAAGTCACTGAACGGAGCGTTAATTCTTAAAACGACAAGTCGGGTCGTTACAATATCTTTGACCAAAAGTCTTTTTGTAGGAGCTATATGTGCCAAACTCCCCATAAATTTTCTACTCAATGCATCAGCCACCACAATGGCTTTTCCAGGATGATACAAAAATAGAACAGTCATAGTCCTTGAGTAGTTCCATCCACCGACGCTGCCGAAGATTTAGATCTCTCTGCTGAAAGATATACTTCAGACTTTTATGGTCAGTATAAATCTCATAAGTTTCGCCGTATAGGTAATGCCTCCAAATATTTAGAGCAAATACCACTGCAGCCATCTCCAAATCATGTGTAGGATAGTTTTACTCGTGCTTTTTCAATTTTCTCGAAGCATAAGCTATAACGCGCCCATTTTGCATGAGAACACATCCTAATCCCACCCTCGATGTATCAGAGAACACCGTAAATCCTCAAGATCTCGCAAGAAGTCAAATATAACGGTAGTCCCTACTCGAGAAAAATCAGTAACGGTATGCTAATTCTACCTTCGAGGGTTATAACGATAATCGGTAATTACAAGGTGCACCAGGTCTAACGAACTCGTCGTTAGCTACGGGATCCTTCAAAGTCTACTCCCATTTATACTTATCTCTGTAATCTGTCTATACTCATAAGAAAATATTTTAAAATAATATAGGGCATTTCGGTTCTTATCAAATCATGTAATTTTATTTCGATAACTGTAAATTCAAGTAATGGTAAAACATATCTAGTGACAACAAGAATATTTAAAATAACAGTAATCATCTCAAATAACTATTTCGGTGTCATATCGAGTAAAAGACTTGTCTCACATGCAACTCAAAATATTCGGCAATATATTCATATTAAAAATTATGTGTAAATCATGCAAGTTATAAAAATACAAATTGCGGTAAGATTACTACTTACAGTACTCGTGTGAAATACCAAACTCGTCACCTCGAGCGATCCGTATGACTTTCTTCAATCAATCTATAACCACATCAATATCGATCTCGTGTTAATTGCCTCATTTAGGCTAAATTCATCACTAATTTAGAATACCCAATCCTCCGAATTTTATATTTGGCTCTTAATTCGTCGAATTATATTTATCCAATAATTCCTCTTATTCTACTTGAAATATCAAGATCCATTTCAGTATCCCAACTCACAGCTATAAAATTCCTTTGTAATCATTTTTTTCAATATCACTAATATTAGTAGCAATCATATTTGGTTACCAATCACTAACGAATCGGAAAAGTTTTTGAAGGAATATCCTTTTTTTAATGGTATATACACGAATATATAAGTTTGCAACCCCAAACATATAGTATATTCACCAATTCATGAAAAATTCCATGGACTCTATTATTTCATAAATATTAATTCTTCAACTAACTCTCAACCCCAACTCTATAGCCATGGAATTTATGAATCAAATCTATGAATTAAGTTTAGAAATTTACCTTCTTCTTCTCTGTTTAATTAGCTTTCTCTGTTGAATACTTGTAGTCCTCTTCAATGGCAGAAAACTAAAACCTCACGTTTCCTTTGATTCTCAAAAGTGGCTGACACGGATTTTTCTTTTTTTACTTTCTTTTTTTCTATTTCCTTGAATGCTTCTGCCGAAGCTTAATGGCTTCTAAGCCTAGGCTTTTGCCTTTTTGTGCCTCCCGTAATGGGCTTTGGCCCTAATCCCCCTTTTTGGTTTTTTGGTTTTCAATTAGTTTGCTAAAATAACCAATATGCCCTTTTCTTAAAAAAAATTACGAGATATTACACCAACACTCACATCAATAATAGAATTCAATTGTTAAGCCATTAACTGATTCATAATATAAAAGCAAAGCGGAATAGGTCATAACTTAAATATCAAATTGCATAAAACTCAGACAGGGTCCACACAAGACCAAAATTGTCTCATAAACTCTCCTAAAACACGGTTGTCACAACTAATCACAAGCATCTAATAAGAGTATAGAGATCTGAATTGAATAGAAGGTCTGCCCGAAAATGACGAAGATACAAAGACAAATATAAAGAGTAGGGAAGAGGGACTCCATGTGCCGCAAATCATATCAAGTAAGCAGCTTATCACGAAATTTCCTAAAGGCACTCCTACTCTGCTAGGTGAATACCTCCAAAACGAGTCGTCTTAGAATCTGCACAAAAATGTATAGAAGTGTAATATGAGTACAAAACCACGGTATTCAATAAGTATCTAATCTAACATCAAAGAAGTAGTTGCAAGCAGTCAATAGTCGGACGTACTAACATTTTAATCCTCCGATTTTGTGTGCTTTCATTTCTGAATTTGAATGCACTCAATTTATGTAGCGGTGAAGTGACAAATATTTTTACTCAAAATCGGATGGATCGAGGTATTCTAAGAAACAATGTATCTTTAGTTACAACTTAATGTCTCCAAGATATATAATTGAAATGCTACTGAGTTTCTATTCTTGTCTTTTTTCCTTAACTTTTATTATAGTAATATTTTGTGGTACTATATAATCATTTGAATTCTTCTATGTCTTGGGCTAAAAAATATAAAGTGCATGAATAAAAGTGAGTGTGGGCGTTGTTCCTGAAAGTCGCCATGCATATATATCTCAACGTTTTACCCAAATAATAATTTTGACAATGAAAATGTCATATGGACATTCTAAGGGATGAATCAAGAAAACATATGTACGAGAGAAGTTATATGATTTTAACAGTAACAAATTCTCCAAGTCATTACCCAAGAAGAAAGTAACAATCAGGTTCTAACTTTAAAAGCATGAAGTTCATAATTAAAAAACTAAATATTAAAATATCTTTCTTTTATTTACCTAGATAATATCTGAAGAGTTGCCACCATTTTATGTGACTGATATAGATGTCTCTTATGCTTCTACCACATCCGTAGTATATTCAAATTCTGTATTTTCACAAGTCACTTTTTAACTTCTTTCACTATTTCTTCACTTTATGAAAAGACATGCTTTCATTTTCTAAGTACACATCTTCATGACTAAAGTCAAAAAATTACATTGCCTCTTATATTGTTGTTTTATCTACGATCGATCAGTATGGTAACCTTATTGGGTTCATCCACTGATGAAATATCTGCAAAGCTTGTACGCATGTGTTTTTTAAATACAATTATTGAACTTTTTCCGAATTTGTTTATCAGATATTTTAATATTCATTTACGTGCTCTTTTAAATTTTGTGGTCATAGTGCATGTTTGACGTGCTCTTCTCATTTTCAAATGTTTGCTTTCTTTAACTTTGATCTATTTGCACTTCTATTTTGGTTTGTTTCAAAGTTTCTCCAGTCGCGTTTCACTTTATTATGAAATCTGCAATATTATATTTTTTTTAGTTTACCTTTATTCTTTATTTGCTTATCGCTCTATCTGTGTGTTAATTTTTATGTTCTTTTATGTTGATTTATTGGTCGATTTTGTACAACAAAAGGAGTAGCTGACAAGTTTAATCATCTTGTGGAGTTCTAGAAAAGTGTTGACGTCATAGATGGCAGTCTAAATAATTTCTCAAAATTAAGAGTTCCGACACTTCTGTGCCATACTTTTTGTTTTGTGGAAATACATTCTCCCACGAGTTATTCAATCTTTTTTTCTTCGATATGTGGATTAATTTCGCATGAAAACAAATCTCATAAGAGAGAATACATGAGTCGGGAATCAGGATTGAAGATATAGACTCATTAATCATTAAATATCAAGAAAATATTCTTTGAATTTACATAGTAAATACAAGATCAAGTTTAGTTTCTGCTACTGCAACAATCTGCATCCTATAAATATTTCCTTGTTGAATTTAAGTTGTCTTTATCTGAGTTCCATTTAGTTAAACAAATAAACTGGGAGAGAAAGAAGAGCTCCTTGATATGATAACTATATTGAGAAAAAAGGACCATGATCATTTGACGAAGATATCAAGCTCTCGAATCTTATTGATAAAATATGATATCAAGTAATTTTTAATAGTACATAGGCATACTTGGACTTTTTGTCATAATTATATCTTACTTGATTACTTACATTTCATTTACTAGATAAAGAATGACTCATTACACAATTCAACCTTTCATAATCAGTAATAAAATTTGAACTCTAGCCAACACTTATCTACGTATAAATATGTGTATATGGTGAAGTTAAGATTTTGACATTGAATGTACATCAAACTATAAAAAGGAGGTTTGACATTTAGAAAAGAGATTGGTCTTGAGAAGATAATTATGTTGAGGCAGAAATAATATTTGTGATCGCTGAAGGTTATAGAGAAGATAAAATTGATCAAAGAATATTGCTTCCTGCATTGCCTATTGGAGCAATCAAACCTCAAAACAGGGATATACCAAAGTTTAATTGAAAGTGTGCAATAGAGACAAAGTTGATTGGAGAATATGCCTTTTGACTTTGTTCATCAAATGTCTTAAGGTTAGGCGATAATGCGGGTTTTTGGTATATTTAAAATTTTAATTTATAACTAACTTAAATATTTTTTCGAATATGCATGTATATTATTAACTATTTTTGGCATATATGTTATTTACTAATTTGTGTATTCTATGACTCGGTATACACGTGCAATGCATGTGCGGAGAAACTAGTAATCATAAGAGGCATAAACAACATATGGGAAGTGAGCGGAGAAGTTATACCTCATTTTCTTTACCTTCACACTCAGATTGATGTTTTCTCTGATGAAAACTAGAGAAGCAAAATCAGAAGGCAGTGATAAAAGCACAAGCAAGTCACCCAAGTAAAAGGATCTTGTATCTGATCACTATGGTAAGACATCGCAATCAAACAGTACTTTCTAGATGAAACACAAAAATAACAATATGGCAACAACGAGGACCATTTTGGTATTGTTGTTCGACATTTCTTTTACCCTTATGACATGCTTTTTAAGTAAATCTTCTATTTTTATCTTTAACTCTGTGCCCTATGAATTAGTGTTATGTAAAAATGAAACGGAAGGAATATCAATTTAGAATGCAATGAGACTATAATTGGTCGTTGATACTGGTGCTTTATAATATGTCTATGCCAAGGAAGGATCGGAACTTCTCTTCGTTAATTCGTTATTACTTTGAGAATTCAGTTTATATTTGAGAATATGCTACTCCATGTTCCATTTTCAAAAACCAGTCCACATCCAGAAGAAAGGCTATAATACTTGTCGCGCCCCATTTTTTCGTGAAAGCGGGCTTCGACATGTGACAACTCTTTTAAAATGGGTATTAAAAGAGAAGAGTCGTCACCTAACAATTTTTAAGGTGCGTTAGGGGCACCTATTTACAAGTAACTCTGTTTGACTAGTCAACGCCACCAAAGATCGGGTAAGGGCTCAAAGTACCTTGGAGAGAAGGTGTTAGGCACTCTTCGAAATCCACAACTGTGGGTCCAGGACAAATTTTAAACTAAGTGGGATGAATGAAAACTAAATTGCAAGTTAATAATTTATATTAAATGATGTGAGTCGTCTATTAATTATCCTAAGTGAGATAGGCATGAAAAAGGAGAAAGAACAACTTCTAGCAATAGGTAAAAGAAAGGAAGTTTTGTATAAAATGAATCGCACATAAAGCTGTATGAGAATAGTCATTTAAAAAATATATTAAGGGGTAAGAGGAAATTTGGGCGAAAGCGAAAACGAGTTTTTATTACTAATAAAAATAACCTTTACATAGAAACAATACAGATTCAAGTAATAGTATAAAACTATTGGATACAAAAAGTAAAGCGTAACTAATCCAGCAACAAACATGAATATGAATAAATAGAGTATGGCATGATTATTTAGTAAAAGGGGAGCCTAAGTTTTTACACCTAATGGATCAACTCCCGTGCAAAGCTTGCTAAGACTTTTATAGCCAAAAGTGTAATGGCTATTCAGGCAATTTGTGTATCATGTCTGCTACCCTCATTACTATCTTTAAGTTGTTAACCTAAAAGCGCACTAATCAATTCTAAATCACGTCTTAATTCAAAACTACCCATCCCTTCCTATAGTCCATGAGGCTTTGGACACTATTCTAAAGAGATGGTTCTAGACTTAAGAAAAATCTCATGTTTCTATTTCTATTCTTATTAGCATCACATAAAAGGAGCACATTGGGACTTACACAAGTAACACATAAGGCAAGTAAGGGCTCATGTTGGCCTCCGAATTAATTAAGTAATTGTTAATGTAGTAAAAAATGGTCAAGTGTACTCTAAAATATGATAAGTCTTCTTGAATAATACCCATGATATAAGCATACATATAAAGAAGTGATTAGATCTAAAGAAGTAAAAAATATGAAGCAAACGTTGGGCTAAATTAAAACGAATTTCTGAATTAATTAAAAGGAACAGAAAAAAAAGTGAAGGCTTAGAAGCTTCGGTCAAAGACAAATGACAGTCTTTATCTTTTAAAGTGAGCCCAACATACTAGTAAGAAAACGTTACTAAGGACTAAGACACCACAAAAAGCTCAAATGCAAAAGCTATCCAATTTAACGTGTTAACATGTTTTCAAGAAGAAATGAAAGCAAATAACAGCAGGTAATCACATAGAACACAAGCATGAAATATCCCTTATCCCAAGTAGCCCCATTTCACTATTACATTCAGTTATTACATGCTATCTGAATAGAGCTT